GACGTCGCGTTGCTGACATCAGCGGGTAGCCCGGTCACACCCGGATGACGGTCGGCCTCTTGGCCGGCCTTACCCCCCGGTGCCGTCCGGCTGGCGTCCTCCACCCCGTTGTCGGCGCCCGCGTCCCCTGGCATGAAAGAGTGACAGGGTTGCCTCACCCAGTCACACCAGCATTCAAGTGTTGCAAAATATTGTAGGGTTATTCCTTTGTGTTATTGCAACATTCTGTGTACCTTGGAATGCCGTGTGGCTCAGCCTCGTGATGTCACAACTCAGCAAGTGCCCTGCTCTGGGTCTTTAGAAAACCTCTCTTTGTGTCTATACAATATTGTTATCCATTGTGCTTTTCTAGCTGGTGATGATGCAGTACAGCTATTCACAACCATGAAGTGGTGTGCCTCAGTTGACCCATCCACACGGCAGAGCAGGTTTAGTATGGTTTCCCTGTTGTGACAAGATTTGAACCTGTGTACAAGAGTTAGCCCTAACCCTATTCTTAGTAATTCCAATACTCTTTTCCAAATATCATACGATACACATTTTCATGGGATATATTGCCAGTATTGAATTCTTTAAGAAGGTTTACCATGAATAGCAAACATTGCATCATGAAACTTAATAACCACAAACAACAATCAGAGATGGGGAAACCTATGAATTAATGAGCTGTACACAGTAGGAGTCCCCTGTATGTGACAGTCAGAAAGCACAGTAAAGTCTTTTCCCCAACGTATAGTTGGGGAAAAATAACCCCAACTATATGCGTACACTGGAAACTTTCCCCACACTCACTGCAAGTGTAGTGTCCTGTCTGAAGGGGAATGCTCTGTTGAATGGTTTCTTTTTTCTCTTCACCCCTCTGCTCCTGTGACTGGATTTACCCTGTCCCTTATAGGGACTATACTGACTCTCAGAGGTCTCTCTCTGCTCAGGACATTGGGGTACGTCTACACTGCAGGCTTCTTGCACAAGAACGTTTTCTGAAAGAGATCTTCCTCAAAAAGTTCTTGCACAAGAGCACGTCCACACTGCCATGTGCTTTTGTGCAAGAGAGAATGGCCATCAGAGCACCTGTGCTTTTTCCGATAGGGGTTTTCTTGCACAATAAACCCCTTTTGTGTGTCCACACTCCTTGCACACTCCTTTTTGTGCAAGAGCTCTTGTGCAAAAAGGCTTATTCCTCATACAAAGAGGAAGAACTCCTGCGCAAAAAGCCCTGTCTTCTGACTATCTACTGTTCTTTTTCTTATGCAAAAACACGCGTTTAGTGTGGATGCTCTGTGAGTTTTTGCACAAAAAAGGCTGTTTTTCCACAAAAACTCTGCAGCATAGATGTAGCCTGGGAAACAAACCCTTCAGTTCTTCCCAATAACATCCTACATGGAGCCACTTGCTCTGTTCCTCCCTGCTGAAGGCTCTCCTCACTGTTAACCCTCAACCTTCTCTGTGGGTGTCACCGGAGTCAAGATACCTTAATTTGGTATTTCGTGATTTCACAGCAGGAGGTTGATTGGAGCAAATGCTCCCATCGACTTCCCTTACTCCTCACAAACCTTTGGTCTGACCCAGTACGGCCATTCTTATGTTCTTGTGTTCTTAAGTCAGGAAAGGATTTATTTCCTTTTTGACTGGCCGCTCAGTGATTCAGGGAAGAGGAACCAGCCGGAGCAGCCTGACTCGGATCTGTTTGGTCCTCATCCCGTAGATGATGGGGTTTAGCATGGGGGGCACTAGGAGGTACACATTAGCAATGAGACTTTGGAAATGAAGGGGCAACATGGGGAGAAATCGGGACATGAGGGAGACCAAGAGAGGTGGGATGTAGAAGGCTAAGATGACGCAGAGGTGGGAGCTGCAAGTCCCAAAAGTCTTGAGCCGGGCATCCTTAGTGGGAAGCCTGAAGATGGCCCTGAGGATCTGGATGTAGGACAGAGCAATTAGAAACATATCAAGACCCATCCCAGAGATCAGCACAAAGAGGCCGTAGTAGCTACTCACACGGATGTCGGCGCAGGACAACTTCACCACAAGCAAGTGCTCGCAGTGCGTGTGGGGGATGATGTTAGTTCTGCAATATGGCCAGTGCCTGGCCAGGAAGGGATAGGGCAGCGTGAGAATGCAGCCACGCAGCACCACAGCCAGGCGGGGCTTGTCAGGATGGTGGAATGTCTCAGGGGGTGGCAGATGGCCACGTAGCGATCTAAAGCCATGGCCCCGAAGATCCCAGACTCCATTGCTGAGAAGCACTGAATGAAGAACATCTGGGTGAGGCAGGCATTGAAATTGATCTCCCTAGAATTGAACCAGAAGATGCTCAGCATTTTGGGTACAGTGGATGTGCCCAGGACCAGGTCGGTGACAGCCAGCATGCAGAGGAAATAGTACATGGGCTCATGGAGGCTCGGCTCCATTTTCACAATGAACAGGAGGATGAAATTTCCCAAAAGGGCTGTGGCATACATGGCACAGAAAGGGATGGCGATCCTGACTTGAGCCATCTCCAGGCCAGGAATGCCCAGCAGGATGAAGGTGGAGGGGTTGGTGAAGTAGGTTGTGTTGGAGTCGGACATGGCCTAGGGGAGAAGGTGTCCAAATCTGAGGCAGAATGGTGTCTCCTGCATGTGTTGTACATTCCCCCTGACTTTCTGTATGTGCCCAGGATTTAGGGTTACGACTGCAGAACGTATGCCTGGAAGGACAGAAAATGATAATGTGAGACATTCTTTGTACTGTTGGTGGCTGTTCTCATGGGCAAAGCAGATCGGTGGCCCTTCACACTGAAGAATCCATTTTTTTTTATTCAGGGAAACGATTTATGAACAATTGACCCTATGGATACCAATAGCGTCCCTGTGGCAATAATTCTATGTAGCATTTTGTGGGAATTCTTAATAGGTACCAGCTGGAAATTCACCCTGGAAAAGGCGTGACCCTTGTTGAGATCAACACCAAGGGGTCACCTGCTCCTTGAAACCATGGTCCATGCACAGACCATGGTTGGACACGTACGGAATGAGACGGAGAGTAACCTGCTCTGGCCATGCCCTCGGGTCTGGTCGCCCAGTGGCTGTGCAGGACACAGCAGATAGAAAAGGCGTTTCTGAGACAGGTTGTGAAAACTGGGCGGGGAGGGGCTGTTCTAAGAGGACTGAGAGGAAAGTCTGGAACTGGTTGGTTCAGAGACAAGACACACAAGGGGGCATTTGATAAAGGAGAGGAAAATAATGGAGCTGATTTAATAGAATCATAGAATACTAGGACTGGAAGGGACCTCGAGAGGTCATCAAGTCCAGTCCCCTGCCCTCATGGCAGGACCCAGTACTGTCTAGACCATCCCTGATAGACATTTATCTAACCTACTCTTAAATATCTCCAGAGATGGAGATTCCACAACCTCCCTGGGCAATTTATTCCAGCGTTTGACCACCTCTGTTCCTTTCACACAAAAGGAGAACAGCACAGATTTTCAGAAAAAGGCTAATTCCCCAAAGGTGAGGCAAGTTATCAGCAAAACTTATTGGCAAGAAAATTAGACCGAAAAAATGTGAATGAAACCTGAGAAAACCTTAAGAAGAGTTTGTTAGATAGTCAAGAAAGAGGACGATGTTGGCTAAAAACCCAATTCCATGGCCAAGAGAGTGCAGTAATGATGGGGGGAAAGCAATATATGGCACCTGGGAGAAGAAGTAGACCCACACGTCCACTTGTGAATGAGTCGTTGCTCACATTAACCGTCTGACGCCTTGGGCTGTGGCTCAGACCTTGTGCTTTGGCCGAGCAGCGGGGCAGCAATAGACTGGGCAGGGTATGTTCACATCCTCCCATTCCCAGCCAGCCGCACGGAGATCAGGTGACAGAAGGCTGATAAGTGGGTGTCCAAGCTAACACCACCAGCTCACGGACAGATCCCAGAATGAAAGAAAACTGATTTCTGCCTGGAAAGAACCCACATATCCAAATATCATCGCATTGTTATTTTTGCTTGATCGTCCCCACTTTTCTATTGTTAAGCTGCATGTTCTTTGTCTGGTTCTTTATTTGTTTCTGTTTGCTGTATAATTAATTTTGCTAGGTGTAAATTAATTGCAGTGGTGAGGTATAATCGGTTACAGAATTACACTACACTACTGGGACCGATTAGTAACATTTCGGTAAAAGAGCTGGTGAGGGTCGAGCTGGGCAGAACTCCAATTTTACTCGATAAACTGAGGTTTAAGAGGAAATGAAGGAGACAGGAAACTGGAATCACATTTGCTGGGAGCTAACGACAACACACATTGCAGTGTCGGCATTTGGGGCTTCTGGTCTGGATGCTCTCCCTTAGCATGACAGGAGCCAGGGCTGAGGGGGAAGGGGAAGAGCTCTGACACCGAGCTCCTGTAGCAATTGAAGTGTAGACAAGCCCGTAAGCAGATCGAGAGAAGAATCCAGTCTGGCTCTGCAGACAGGCCGGTAGGGAGACTCCACGGCTATGTCTACACTGGCATGGTTTTCTGCTAATGCTTTTAACGGAAAAGAGCATCTAGATTGGCACGGACGCTTTTCCACAAAAGCACTTTTTGCGGAAAAGCGTCCGTGCCAATCTAGATGCTCTTTTCCGTTAAAAGCATTAGCAGAAAATCATGCCAGTCTAGACGCAGCCGAAGAGTCATGCATAAACATAACTCTTATCAGGGCTGACCAGACTTGTTTTGCCTAATTTCAAACTAACTCAAGCAACACGAATACAAAAGTTAAACTCAGATGCTATTGGGGGGGGTCATATTTAACTTAGGAAAAAGAGTGAATACAGAGTAGAGAGGAACAAGTCCACTGAAAAATAGTATACCATGTGTAATAGTGAAAAGGCAGAAAGATTCTATTAAAATAGCTTAAGTATGGAAGGAATACATCAATAAAATGTCATGTATAGGGAACTTATATAAGTCAGCCTACAAGCAGCATAGCATTTCCGCAAGAACACTGATTTCAGACAGTAGGAAGTCAGTGTTCTTGTGGAAATTCAAGCGGCCAGTGTAGACAGCCGGCAAGTTTTTCCACAAAAACAACCACTTTTGCGGAAAAACTTGCCAGTCTAGACGCAGCCCACCATTTCCCTGTGCAGTTCATTCTACTGATTAGTTACTCCCAGGGCTAAACTTTTGACCCTTATTTCCACCTGGAATTTGTCTGATTTCAACTTCCAGCCACTGGCCCTGCCTTTGAATCTCTTTGCTACGTGATAGAGCCCGTTGTTACACTTTCAGACACATACATGACGTTCTTTCAGTCTGTCTCAGTCTGACATTATCTCCAGCCTCGGCTTGGTTGTTGTGGCTCCTTTCTGCACCGTCTCGTTTCCCCGCATCCCTTCGGAAATGTGGACCCAGAGCTCCATGCATCCGTGTACCACGGCCATATGCAGCGGTAGCGTCCTTCCCTTTCTTTCACCCGCAACGCGCCTGTTTGTGCAGTCAAGGAACCCATGAGCCCTGCTGGCTGCAGGGGTGCCCTGGGAGCTCCCTGTGAGTTGGCTGTCCATTATGATGCCAAGGACCTTGTGTCCAGTGCCCTAGTGTGTGCAGTCCCGGTTCCGAGAGGGTAACTGTGCATGTGACTGTCTTACAGCAGTGTGTTTGCATGGGCCCCGCTCACCAAATGCTGAGGCCGTCTGCCTGCCCTCACCTCTCACTGTAACCATGCTGCTAGAGCGGGGTGGTCTGCAAGTTTCATCTGCAGGAATTTTTCTGTTTTCTACGCTAGGTGAGTAAACCAGCAGTAATGCATTCTACGTGGGCTCTCCTGAATCTGTGGAGTGTTCATGTGTTTGTCGGAAGGTTTTCTCCTCTTCAATCAAAAATCTCAGAGAAATTAAAGCTGATCCCTCGACCAGCCACACATGGACTTACATTAAAGAAGGGAGTTGGTTTCTTTCATGTAAGCCCCTTTTTCCTCCCTGGGTTACTTGGGAGCTGGTCACACTGAACTGGCTAATCTACTGAATTTAAAAGGGCACTGTACTAGAAGTGGAGTGGGCATACTTAAAGGGGCGTCACGCTTCTCTGTCTGCCATTCTCTCAAACACAGACACACACAGTAAATCACACACACACAAAAAAGTATGTACATCTCTGTCACACACACTGGGGCTGTGCACACACAGTCCGGAGGAGAGAGAGGTGCTTGGGTGGGAAGTTGTGGGTTCACGACCACGTTCAGGTTCCCCTGCAGCCACGGCCGTGGGTCTCTTGTGCGTCCTCCCCCCTACCCCCAGCCACTCTGCCTCTAGATTGCAGGGACACCTTACCAACTCAGCGAAGTGCTACTTCAGCACTGAGTAGCCAGACATTCCCCGGGAATTATCCCACCCTCTGACACCACCGCCTCCATCCAGCTTCCCAGTCTTAGGAAAGGACGTGCCAGGGCCTCAGCGTCCAGCCTTGCACTGGACATCGACCCTGCCGAAGGAACCCCCGTGCCTCTGAATGCAGCCTCCCTGGGATGAGAGTGAGGGGGGACGTGGTGGGACCCGAACTAGTGACATGTTGGCCTGTGACACTAGGAGCAAACTCACCCTCTGTGCCAATGGCCCTGGGATGTTTGTGGCTCTCCAGAGCGCAAAGGGCCCAGACCGACTCTCTGCCCCTCACACCCACGCTGCCCTGGGGCTGTGGGGCAGGGGAGCTCCTCAGCCAGACATGGTACCTGTGAGTGCTGAGAGGGACGTGTCTTCCCTGGGAATCCCCCTCAGGCAGCCGCGTTCCTGCCTCTCTAAGCCCAGCGTCTGCAGCAGCGTCCTGCGCCGAGAGCTGGCACAGGGCCGTGCACTGGTTATAACCCAGCTCTGGGCCGTCCCAGGGGGGTTCACTCAGCCTCTGGGGAAGAAGCAGCATCTGGATGCAAACAGGCTGGGGACCAGCCCGTCTCTGTTTCTATGTTGATTATCCAGCTCTAGAAGTAAACAGAAATTAAGGGTGTGACTGGGGGCGGTCACAGATGACCCTTTGGGGGTGCCTCCCAGGGTGCTGACATGGCCCCTGCCACTCACCTTCCTGCTCTCTGGGGCTCCTCACCACCCGGTCCTGCTGGGCCAGCTCCCCTATTCTCCCCCAGCCAAGGCCTCGAGCTGAGGTCCCTGCCCCCACCGAGAAGCAGCACAGACACTGAACCAATTCAAATCCAAGGCGAGGGCAGTTTAGGGCTCAGCACCCTGGGAGACCCCTCCCCAGATGGGATCAGACCCCAAAGAATTAGGTGAGCCCCTTTAGCAATGAAAGGGGGAATGTGCATGCTGGTTGCCCCCCCAGGTAACAATCTCTTACACTGGGTTTGATAGAAAATAAAAATGGTTTTATGAAGTGGAAGCAGTGGGATTTGAGTAGGAATAAGTGAGAACAGGCAGAGCAAAGTAGGTTACAAATCAAAAGAATCAAACGGCTTGGCTAATTCTAGGGCTGGACTCGATGACTCCTGAGGTCGCAGCCAGCCCTGAGGTTCTGTGACATCCAAATCCCGAAGAGAGTGCGGGAGAAAGATGCACGTAGAGATGCAACTTCACCTGCAAATGTTCTTTACTATAATTTCACTTCTC